TAGAGAGACAGTCATCCTAGGACAAGCTTTGTGGCCAGGGGTCCCTGGGCTCTGTGCGTCCCAGTGAATGAGTCGGGGGCATACATGCTAGTGGCAACATTCACATGGGGCAACCCTAGTCCTCTGCCCATCAAGCATCAATCTGTAGCAACTCTGATCAAGGACACAACATGGGTGTTCCCAGGAAGGGAGGCGGAGAGCTCTGAGGAGAAGTGTTTGTTGCCTGCTGCCTCAGTCCAGGCATGGCCACACTCTATGTTACCTGCAGCCACCTGCAGAGGCCTGTGAGGCTGGGGGTTGGGGCCCATTTCCCGGGGAGGTGCAGGTGCCACAGCTAGCCAAGTGGATGCAGGCTTCGGCTCCGGATGCAGAGAGGACATGGGCTGTGTGTAGGCCTCTGGCCAAGGAGGTCAAGGCAGAGCCTTGGGGGGTGTCCACACCGAAATTAGTCAAATATAAACTCATCCTTGAGCACTAAGCTTAACCACACGGTTGTGACACGGAGCCGCCAAACTCCAGGCCGTGGTGCTGTCACTGCTGTGGTGCCAGAAGTGAGCTCCCAGCAGAGGAGCCATGGCCTTTGTAGTTTCCCAGGGCACTGCATGCTGGGAGCTATGTGTGTGGCTAGCAAGGGGGGCGGGTCCTGGGAATTGTAGTTCTCGGTGCTCTTAGGGCATTCTGGGAGATATGGTCTCCAAGGCACACAGAACTGGCACCTTGACACCTACTTAGGTTGAGTTTGCCCTTATAGCACATCACAGCCCCCAACACAGGAAGGGGCGCCCTAGCAGACTGCCTCCAGCTGTCTGGGTGGAGCCAAGTGGGGCAAGGAGTGTTGTGAGTTTAGCTGGGGACGGGGTCTGTCCCGGAGCTGAGCCTCGGAGGCCTGTGCTGTAGATCCAGCTTCCGTCAGTGCCAGGCATGAGGACGCCAGCAGCCTGTTGGACTCCTGGCCCTGGCCAGCCTCTCACCATGCCACGTCTTCTCTGTCCTTCCCATCTCGTGACCCAGGAATCTGCCAGATGTCTCTGCTGTGGACTTTGAGAAGGTTGATCTGACTCGGTTCAAGTGGATCCACATTGAGGCAAGCTTTGCTCTCCCTGTGTCTCGAAGGGCTCAACCTGCCACCCCTCCTCGTGTTTTGCCTCCTTCTTGGTTTCTTTGAACCATGAAGTGCCTTAGAGATGAATGAATCTGACCCCCACCCCCTTCCCATTCTACTCTATGTTTTTAGGTAGAAAACTAAGGCCCACAGAGATTGGGTGACTTACTCAAGACCACACAGTAGGGTGTAGGCACCAGAAGCAGGATGCTGGCCCCAGGCAGAGCCCCGTGCTCTGTGCTACAGGCCGCCCCACACTGGCAGGAGCCTGGCTGTAGGAGGCCTGACCCATACCTCCCTCCCACATACAGGGAACTAGAATCTTCATTGCAGGAGAGGTTTTGGAGTCTGGCGGGGGAGGAAACCCCAAGAAGCCCCAAGTTCTCATCCTTGCCCTGTCGCTAACTTCCTGTAGGTCCTTAGGACAGTCTCTTTTATTCTAGTCTCTTCATCTATGAAATGCAAGGACTGGTTGGTCAGGTGTCTAAGGTCCGTGATAGCTCTGAGATCTTTAGATTGAGAATGGGGCTCCCAAGCCACCCTACTCCCTCACCCAGAGTCTCAGCAGGAAGGGACGAACGAGCCAGAGTGGCTGGGCAGTGCCCAGCAGTCCTGAGCGGCCCTGCTCTGCTCCAGGGCCGGAACGCGTCGGAGCAGGTGAAGATGCTGCAGCGGATAGAGCAGCACAATGCCAGGCAGCCTCCGGGGCAGAAGATCCGGGTGTCCGTGGAGGTGGAGAAGCCCCGAGAGGAGCTGTTCCAGCTGTTTGGCTATGGAGACGTGGTGAGCGTCCCGGGCTGCTTCTTGCCGCATCCAGCTAACGTGGTTCTTAGAAGGAGCCGGAGAATTGCCTTGTCCTGCCTGCCGTGCCTGGAGCAGCTAGCTCCTCATGGCCCGCTGGTGTTGGCAGGAAGGGGGCAGAGCAGAGGCCGATCCCCAGCTCTGGGCTCTGGTCCCCAGCTCTGGGCTCTGGTGCAGGCCTCGGCAGTCGCCCAGGAAAGCTTCTCTACCCCAGGGGGTGCGTAGGTAGGAGGGAGCCGAATGGCATGGGCAGGGCGAAGGCAGCCAGCCACAGGGCGAGCCTGTGTGGAAGCATCTCCTCCCCGGCCTCCTCGGTCTTTTTCTCTTCAAAGGAGGGAGAGGACTGTTTTCCGAGGTGTCCTCCAACTCTGGGGAGGGTGACAGGCTGTGGGAGCCACTCGTGGGTGAGGGAGGATGGGCAGGGGCCTTGCGCTCGTGGATTTGAGCAGGGTGGGGTGTAAATGGGGTCGGGTTGACAATCTTAGCATCACTGTGGGAGCTGGTTAGTCGTCAGCCTTGGCTGCAGGTGAAGAGATATGGATGCCTGAGCCCCACCCCTGTTGGTTATTTGATGGGTCGGGGTGGGGCTTGGGCTGAAGTATTTTTTACCAAAACTGTCTCTGGCAATTTTTTAAAAAATATATTTTTATTGATTTGAGAGAGGAAGGGAGAGGGAGAGAGAGATAGAAACATCAATGATGAGAGAGAATCATTGATCGGCTGCCTCCTGCACGCCCCCTACTAGGGGACCGAGCCCGCAACTTAGGCATGTGCCCATGACTGGAATTGAACCCGGGACCCTCCAGTCCACGGGCCGATGCTCTATCCACTGAACCACACTGTCCAGGGTGGCAATTCTAATTGTGGTTGGTGTGAGGTCTCTAAGGTCCGTGATAGCTCTGTGGTTGGTGTGGTTGGTGTGAGGCAACTTCCGAGGCCCTACCCCTTTGTTTTTAAGATGAAGAAACCAGACCTCGAGGGCAGAGTTGTATGAGAAAAACAAACCCCAAACAAAACTGCCCCGGAGAGTTGGTGGTTTCAGTTGGCAGTGGTAGATTCCACCCCAAGATGGCGCTCCAGGCTCGCTTTGGGTTTTCAATTGGGAGGAAATTCATGGATCCTAGAACAAACAGACCAGGGCGTGTGCCCCATTCACAGGCTGTATCCTGGCATATCTTGAGCATGAAAACGTGTTCCTGTGGGGCAGCCACATGCTGTTTTGGGGGTTGGGGTGGCCACGTGGGAGGAGCGGGGTCATAATATGGGGGCAATGCTAGGCTGCTGGCGGGAGTGCCTGAGCTCGGACTAGAGTTAGGGTGATCGTCAGCCTCTCCCACTGTGCACAGGTGTTTGTCAGCAAAGATGTGGCCAAACACTTGGGGTTCCAGTCAGCGGTGGAGGCCCTGAGGGGCTTGTACAGCCGTGTGAGGAAAGGGTGAGCTGGGGGAGCCAGGGAGGGTGGGTGTGGGAAGTGGGGGAGCCTGGACTCGGGGTCTGCCCTGGGGAGAGGGACTGAGACTGGGGCCGGGGTGGGCTCGCACCCAGCTAAGCAGAGGGTCTGGCAGGGCAACGCTGGTCTGCGCCTGGGCTGAGAAGGGCGCCGACGCCCTGGGCCCCGACGGACAGCTGCTCCACTCCGATGCCTTCCCGCCGCCCCGCGTGGTGGACACTCTGGGGGCCGGCGACACCTTCAACGCCTCTGTCATCTTCAGCCTGTCTCAAGGTGAGTCCCTCAGCAGCAGGCACCAGGCTGGGGCCGGGCCCTGCCCCGACGGCCTGGGCCTGGCTGATCCAGCGACTTGTCCCTCCCTCCAGGAAAGAGCATGCAGGAGGCGCTGCGGTTCGGCTGCCAGGTGGCCGGCAAGAAGTGTGGCCTGCAGGGCTATGATGGCATCGTGTGATGCCCTGTGGCAGCAGGCAGCAGCTCACACCCCCTTGGGGGCCAGTGTCACTGGCTGCTGCCTTCTCCCCTCTGTCCAGCCTGGCATCGGGGCGGCCCTGCTCCTGGGCAGACGCTGGCCGCGGGAGGGCTCCACCTGCACCTGGGTCCTGGCATCTCACACCGCAGAGCCACAGAGCAAATAAACCTCCTTCCCAGTGCCCGTTCCTTCTGGCAGTCTGTCTGTCCTTGCCCTCCCAGCTCCTCTGGCTGGGGCTTCCCCCCATTCTCCCGGTTCACCTCCCCACCCAGGCCCGGAGGAGGGGCTGCTGGGCCAGAGCAGCAGGCGATTCCAGGCTTGCTGCCAGCTGTGCCCGTGCTGGAGGCCGGGTTCAGGGATCGGTTGTCACAGGGAGCCTTTCTGGCTGCGGAGGACACCCCGCTGCCTGCCGCTGGCTCAGGGAACCTTCCAAATAGCCACAAATCACGAGAAAAGCTGCTCTGGGCCCTGTGCTGTCACCAGGCCCCAGCTCCGTCCGTGGCCCCAGGAGTGGCTCAGCTGAGCCGACTCGCTCTGTGGTTTGGTGGGGACTTTGCCTCCAAGAATAGCTTCCCAGTGACCGCCCTGCAGCCTGAAAGCCCCACCCACGGAGCCACCCTGCGGTTAAGGCGGTGCCTCAGCCACAGATGTGACCCGGGTACAGGGTGCTGCTGTGCCCGGGGGAGACCAGGGCTGAGGGCACGGGGAGTTGGGGCAGGGTGTGTGAGGCCACAGGCAGGCCTGAGTGCTGGGTCACCGTGGGTACATCACTGAACGCAATCTTCCTCAAGGTCCTTATCGAGCGGAGCTTATTCCGTGGTCATGGGATTGTTGTGAGGATAAAATCACACAATATGAAACGCCCAGTGCAATGCTGGTGTGTACGAGGCTCTTGATAAATCGCAGTTACTGTTAATATTAAGGGGGGGTGGGTACAGGGTGATGGGGCACATCTGCCCTGAGCTGCAGGCGGGCACTGGGTGTCTGAACACCAGGTGAGGGGGCACAGGAGTGTTTGGACCCCAGGGGGACAGGGAGAGGCTGAGCGCTCGCACCCGCTGGGAACACGGGGAAAGCTGAATCCCTGCCCCTCCAAGAGGCCTGTCCAGTCCTCATACCCCCACCGCCCTCCCTGAGGTCTGGCCAGGCTGGACCAGTAGACAGATGGCCCAGGGGGATGAGTTTATTCAGTTCTTTATTGGTTGTCCGGGCCCTAAAGCTGCCCCTCAGCATAGGATCTCCATGAGCTGCACCTACTGGGACCAGGAGCAGCCAGAGGTGGTCCTTGTCCCAACACACACCCCCCGCCCTTCGGAGCGCATGTTGGCGCTGAGACTGCCCGGCACACACCTGCATCCTCGAGGCTTATATCTCGTCGTTCTCCAGTTGAATAGCATGAACCTCAAACTCACTTGGGGGGTTCTTAGACTCCTGTGTTTCCCCTGGCAGCTCCTCCGCTTCCTTTCCAGCGTCCCTGGCCTCGGCCTGGGCCCCAGCCTCCCCTCCGGGGCCTGGGTCCTTTTCCCCAGCCTCCTGTCCAGGCTCCAAGGGCTCCTTTTCGGCCTCCACCTGTCCCTCCTCTCCTCTGGGGCCCAAGGCTTCCTGCGCTTCTTGTCCTGATGGGCTCTTGGCTAACAGGGGCTGCCTCCCCAGATCTTGTGGCTCCGGGGGCTCTTGGTGCTCCGAGTGCCTCGGGGCCGCTCCGGGAAAGTTGACGAGCTCTGCCGGGGTCATGAGCCCGTCCCCATTCAGGTCCTGCGTCTCCAGCACCTCGTCCACGACCAGGACCACCTGTGGGAGCACACAGCTTCCCTGGGGTCCACAGTGACCGGCGATGCTTCCCGGAGCCCTGACCCTCCCAACGCCCCTCCCCGCTCCCTGACATGCAGGCTGTGAGCATTCCTGGGGATTCGCCAAAAGAGTCAAGATGAAAAAGACCAAAGCCCCAGGGAGCTGGGTCTCCTTTGAAGGAAAAGGGTTTTCCCCTACCCCCACCCCGACCCCACCCGCCCCAGGGAGCTGGGTCTCCTTTGAAGGAAAAGGGTTCTCCCCTACCCCCACCCCGACCCCGCCAAGCAGGGCTTACTGGGTTGGTGGTGGGAGAGTCAGCGGTTCCAGGGGCCAGAGCTGCTGTCAACATGGACATCAGCTCCAGGCCGTCCAGCTGTCCACTCTGGTCATAGTCATGGAGGGCAAAGAGGTAGAGCAGGACTAAGGGAAAGAAGCGGGGTCAGAATACACCCAGAGGACAGGAGGAAGCAGGAGGCCACGGACGGCCCGAGGCCAGTCCCCGCTCTGGCTGCCCTGAGCCTCCCACCCACGGGCCCCTGGGCCCAGCCCCTCACCCTGCTCCCGGCTCATGTGCTCCGGCTCCTCTTCCATCCTCTCTAGTCCCTTTAGGTAGCTCCGCAGAAGTCTGCCGGAAAAGCGGACAGTCAGCCCCTGGAGGCCAGCCTGCACCCCACGCCTCACTGCCAGGCCCCCAGCCCAGCGACTCACCGTAGCTGCTCCAGGCCTGGCTGGAAGGGGTTGAGTAGGGGCTGCTGCTGCACTTCAGGAACCGGCCTGGAGGACGGAGGGGAGGACCAGCCTTGCAAAGAGCCTCCCTGAGGGCCCAGCCTCCCAGCCTCCCACCCCCAAGCAGAGTTCTCGCCCCAGACCCAGAGGGAGTTGCTTTCCCCAACTCCCCGAAACCTTGTGGGGGGAGGCCCTTCGGGCTCCTCAGAGCAGAGCCTTACTCTCTCAGACTCTGTGTTTGCAGATTCCTACCTTAGATGGAAAGTGGAAACCCCATAAAACACCTGGCCAGGTAGAGCCAGGTGAGGCCACACCTCGCCCAGACAAGTTGGAGGCCCAAGAAAACAGCGCAGTCAGGGGTAGGGCAGTGTAGATCGGGGCAGTGATTCTATTTTGATGCTGGGCCAACGGGCAGGTCTCTGGCTGAGCTCAGAGGCACTGCCCACCTTGATACAGGCCCTGTTTACACCAGGACCAACTGGCCTCTTTATTTTCCCAAGCTGTGCCACCTATGTTGGTTTTGGAGTTTAAATCTGCTTGGGGTCTCCGCCCGTCTTTTTTGTTTGTTTGTGTCAGTCTTTAAAGCTCAAGATTTGCTCTCAGGTTTGGACGAGGCTATCTGGCTGCCCGAGCCGATCCCGACCTGTGACGCCAGGGAGCTGGCAGAAGCCACGGCAGCAACTCCGGTCACTGCTGCCGGCCCTGCCGCTCCTTGTCTGTCCCCCGCCCCACCAGCACCCCCTCTGCATCGGTGGGAGAAAGGTGCTCAGAGAGGTGCGATGACCTGCTGACCCCTAAATCTTCGGCGTTCCCTCTCTCAGTCTTGATGAGAGGATTACACCCCTTCCCTGGCCCCCAGCTTCTTCCCCGAGCTTCACGCCTCATTGGAACTGAGCTCCTGGCTCCAATGAGTCCAGCAAACACAGATCACGTGCCCACTCTGTGTAGGGCCCTCCACCAGGCTCAAGGCAGAGAGGTTGAGTGGGTGGGCAGGGATACAGAGGTGAACAGCGCACGTCCAGTCTCCTGCCTCCCAGGGGGCCCACCACACCCTCGGGTTCCCCAGAGACGCTCCTTGCTCCCAGCCCACGGCCCAGAGCCCGTTTGGTCCCATTACCTCGTGGTTCCATCCCTGGGGGCGGCCTGACTCAGGGGCAGCAGCAGCAGCACAAACATCATCGTCCAAGGTGACATCTCTCCTGGAGCTGGAACAGGGAACACCTTCCCTAGGAGCAGAGTGAGGGGGTCAGGGGGAGGGGTGTCTGCACAGAGTGGGGATCGGTGGGGTCCACGGGAACGTCTCCTCTCCCTGCCTCCACCTCTCCCTGCAGCCCAGGTGACAGGACACAGGGACATCAGTGACGCCCCCCACCCCTCCCCCCACCCTTCCACCCCCCCTCCCCGTGGAACTTTGCTCAAAGTAAATTTGACTCCAGATCCAGGTGTAAAGTGCACGAAGACCCGCCCTGGAAGGGGTGCGGTGGCAGGAGCCCCTCCCACACCCGGTCCTCTGGCCCTGCAGCTCGAGGGGCTGGGAGGAGGCAGTTCAAGTACATCTGGTTCAGTTCACTCGCTTTACAGATGAAACCAGCTCAGAGAGGTTAAGAAAAGGGCCAAATTGGAAACGCAGAGAGAGAGAGACAAAAAGACCAAGACTTAGAGAGGCAGGTTGTTGGGTTGTATTTATTAAAACCTCACCGAAGAACAAATCAAAAGAGACGCAGACTCCTTGAAACAGGTCTAAACTCAGGTAGGGATTTAAAACACAACAAACCAACAGTGGCCCCAGGAACTGGTACTTACGAAGTGCAAGTAGGAAATCAGATCCCAATATGAAGGAAAAAACAAAAACTTCCCCCTTAGACCTACACTGTGCAGGCCCATTGGCAACAAAGCCACTTGATGACAGAAAAACAGTCAGAGAGAGAGAGAGGACCATGAAGCTTCCTGATTGGTCCCGGGTCTGGGCACATAGCTGAGCGTTCCTGAGGAAGCAGGAGCAGCAAAGCCGAGACCCGAGACCCTCTGCCCATCTCTACGTGGCGAATCGCCGGTCCAGGCAGGGGATGAGGAACCCCCTGAAGCGGTGCCCTGCACACTGGCTGGCACTGAATTTTTCTGGAAAAAAGGTTTACAGCGTTTAGTGCAGTGGTTCTCAACCTTCTGGCCCTTTAAATACAGTTCCTCGTGTTGTGACCCAACCATAAAATTATTTTCGTTGCTACTTCATAACTGTAATGTTGCTACTGTTATGAATCGTCATGTAAATATCTGATATGCAGGATGGTCTTAGGGACCCCTGTGAAAGGGTCGTTCGACCGCCAAAGGGGTCGCGACCCACAGGTTGAGAACCGCTGGTTTAGTGGATGCTCCAAGAGCACCATGACCCCGACAAGGTTCAGAACCACTGCAAGGGGTGACAATGCTTCCTAAGGGGTGTGGAAGAGCAGGGAGCCCCTGGTTAACAGGGAGATACAGGTGGGAGCCTGGCCATGGCTGTGCCAGCAGAGCTGCCCCGCGAAGCACAGCTAAGCCTGGAGTCCACACGAAGATGAAGCTGCCAAGAGTCCTAGAAACCGTGTTCAGTCTCCTGTGCATCTGTTGACCCCAAAGGATATAGTGAGTCTACACAGTTGGTCCACAATCGCCAGTGGCCAGATGGGTTCCGAAGCCACAGCTGCCCAAAGGTGTTCGCAAACATCGGCTGGCAACATAGGTCCTTGTGCTTTAGTTGTTGGACCCGGGAGAGAACATAAGGTCTTGGGCCCCTGCAAGGGAGGCAGCTGGAGCTGAGATCCTCTGAGTAACTGGGGACCCTCGGAGGTCGCACCACAGTGGACACCCCCCGGTAGAAGAGTGGACTAGAGAAATATCCGGGCCTCATGTCCGGGAGTCTGCTGGTAAACGTCCCAGTGAAAGTAACTCCAGAGCTGGGCAAAAATAGAAAGTATCTTTTCAAATGTGATGAGTTGGCAAGAAAGTAAGAAATTCTCAGTACAGAAGCAGTAAAACCAGTCATCTCGAGGAAAAGTGAGCTTGTAGTCAGCCTTTGCCTTAAGAGTTTTGGCCAAACCCAACCCCGGTGAACTAGAGCTATCAGTTTGAGTGCTTTGTGCAACAGAGGAGACCAGAGAGAAAGCCTGGACCATGCAAGGTGAGGAGACTAACAGGAGATCCCAACAGCTCAGCTCTCAATCGAAGGATGAGCAGAAAGGAAGAAGGGCAGCACAGAGTCCTGCTTGTTTTGACCTTGGTGCTGAGTAGAAAGGAGAAAAACATCCTCCCTGAGAATGTGTGATAAGCCTGCTCTAATGTGGGTTCGAGGCCAAATTAATGCTACCTCTGTGGCTCAAAACCCTAAGCAGATCATTTATTTTGAAGTGGCCCCTGGTTGACAGTGCCCCCAGTTGACTGACAGAAGAAAATGTCCACAACTGAAGGAACACAACTCCAATCCAGGGCTCAAAGAAGCTCCATAGGTAAAGGTTCAAGGAGCATGAACTCACAGCCAAAAGTCATAAACATACAAGGAAATAAGACACTGTGAATAAGAGCCAGGTAAACAACAGCAGGCAAAACCAGAGTTGTGAAAACTAAAGATATTACAATTCTCACACACATAACATAAAGAATATTTAATACGTTTTAAGAAATTAAAGAGAAGCTTTCAACTCTGAGAAAGGAATAAGAACATAAAAATGACCAAGTAGATGTGAAGATGAACCAACTATAATGTATGCAAGTATAAAGAAAAGATGGATTATAAAAAAAAAAGAAAGAAATTAAAGAGAAGCTTTCAACTCTGAGAAAGGAATAAGAACGTAAGACCAAGTAGATGTGAAGATGAACCAACTATAACGTATGCAAATATAAAGAAAAGATGGATTTAAAAAAATACAATGAGTGAGTTACACAGATTAGACACCGATGATGTGAGAATTAATGACATGCAGATATGCACCTGGGAGCCCTGAGCCACCATGGCAGAGGTCTGGCGGCCCTGAGGCCACCATGCTGAAAAGGCCAAGTGGAGAAACACCGAGACATAGAGATGCCTGAGGAGCCCCAGCCATTCGGGACTCCAGATGCTCACACCTTCCCAGCCCCACGACCACACAGGTGAGAGAGCAAACCTTCAGGTGATCCCAATCCCCGGCCTTCAAGCTGCCTCAGCCAACACAGAATGCAGCAGAAATGTACTTGTTTCCACGCCCTGCCCAGACTGCACACTGTGAGCAACGGCAATGTTCTTGTGCTCAGCCACTAAGGTTTGAGGTAATCTGTTAAATTGTCACAGTAATTTAAAAAAAATATTTATTGATTTCCGAAAGGAAGGGAGGGAGAGAGAATCAGAAACAACAATGATGAGAAAGAATCCTTGACCAACTGCCTCCTGCATGCCCCCTACTGGGGATCGAGCCCTTGACCGGAACCGAACCTGGGACCCTTCAGTCCACAGGCCGATGTTCTATCCAGCCAAACCAGCTAGGGCTATCACAGTAATTTTTGTTTTAATCCTCACCTGAGGATATTTTTTCCATTGACTTTTAGAGAGAGAAGGAGGGAAGGAGGAGGGAGAGAAAGAGAAACATCAATGTGAGAGAGACACATTGATTGGTTTCCTCCCACATGACCAGGGCAGGGATGAACCTGCAACAGAGGTACAGAGGTACATGCCCTTGACCAGAAATTGAACCCGAGTCACTTTGGTCTGCGGGCCGATGTTCTAACCACTGAGAAAACCGGCCAGGGCATCACAGTAATTAGAACTGGTCTAATGAGTGTGTGGCCTGTTCTAGGAAGGGTCCTGTGCTTAGTCTAATGCTCTGCTCTCATCGTCTTGAAATTCTTAATCTTATTTTAGCACTGGGCCCTGAAAAGTATGTACTTGGTCCTGAACACTGCCCACATGAATTGCTATCACTCTCCTCTTCGTTCTATGTATCTTCACATTTATGCAGTTATTCAGTATGTGCAATTGACAGAGAACAGAGCTTTGGAACCAGCCAGACTTAGGTTTGAATCCCAGGCTCACCACACTGTCCCTAATTAACTTGGGGAAGTTAATTATCCTCACTAAACTTTAGTTATCTTATCTGCATAATGTAGAGAGTACTTACATCATAGGGTTAGAGTGAATATTAATTGGGTAATGAATTACTTCTTGCACAAACTAATGAGTAGCCTCTCATTCTTGTCCCTGCCTGTGCTATCTTCTCCATTTGTTTGTTTTGGTTTTATTCTTTTTTTCTATCTTCTCCATTTAAAGACCCCTCCATACTTATATCAGATTACTCTTCCTTTGCTGGAACTCCACTGCTCCAAAACCTTCAATGGCTCCCTATTTCTATTACAGTCCAGAATCCTCACCTGGGCATTCAAGACCTTCTACAATCAGATATCAAGTTACCACATTAGACTCATCTTCCAGTGCTCCCTCACACTAACATTTTGCTTCAGGGTTAGTGGAGTCTCCTGACATACTTTTCACTTTCACTATTTTTTCGTTTTTTGGGGTTATTGAGTTAATTATCCTCACTAAACTTTAGTTATCTTATCTGCATAATGTAGAGAGTACTTACATCATAGGGTTAGAGTGAATATTAATTGGGTAATGAATTACTTCTTGCACAAACTAATGAGTAGCCTCTCATTCTTGTCCCTGCCTGTGCTATCTTCTCCATTTGTTTGTTTTGGTTTTATTCTTTTTTTCTATCTTCTCCATTTAAAGACCCCTCCATACTTATATCAGATTACTCTTCCTTTGCTGGAACTCCACTGCTCCAAAACCTTCAATGGCTCCCTATTTCTATTACAGTCCAGAGTCCTCACCTGGGCATTTAAGACCTTCTACAATCAGATATCAAGTTATCACGTTAGACACATCTTCCAGTGCTCCCTCACACTAACATTTTGCTTCGGGGTTAGTGGAGTCTCCTGACATACTTTTCACTTTCACTATTTTTTTTGTTTTTGGGGGTTATTGGACGCTTTATCCACTGAGCCAAACCAGTCAGGGCTGGGTTATTGTTTTTTTGTTAATCCTTACCCGAGGATATTTTTCCCCATTGATTTTTAGAGAGAGTAGAAGAGAGAGGGAAAGACAGAGAGAGACACATGGACTGGTTGCCTCCTGCATGCACCCCGACGAGGGCCCAGGACAGGGAGGAGCCTGCAACCAAGGTACGAGCCCTTAACCAGAATCGAACCCAGGACCCTTTGGTCCACAGGCCGACACTCTGTCCGCTGAGCCAAACCAGCCAGGGCTTTTCACTTTCATTTTCAGAGTTTTTGCCCGAGCTGTTCCACCCTCTCCCTGGAATATCCCGGGCCTTCGTGATGGCCTTCACATTCTGGTTGTAGTGCACTTCACAAACTTAAGTGCTGTGGACTTTTCCTGTCATCTAAGTAATACTCTCTCAAGTCATGCTTCCAACGGTGACATTTTTGGTACAGGTAACCCACCTCCCACCATTATTTAAAGGAAGTCAGGCTCCGCCTGGTCCGAGCGGCTCAGTTGGTTGAGCACTGATGGTGTGCTGAACGTTTGCCAGTTTGATTCCTGGGTAGGGCACATGCCTGGGTTGTGGGTTTGACCCCCAGTCAGGGAGTGTACAGAAGGCAACCAATCAATGTTTCTCTCTTTCTCTCTCCTTTCCTCTCTCTAAACTTGTCCTCAGGTGAAGATTAAATAAATAGATAAAGGAAGGAAGTCAGGCTAAGGCACTTGTAGTAATGAGTAATGAGGTGGGCATAATGCGATTCATTCACACATATTTCTAAGTATTTACAAAGCATTTGTAAGCAACAGAAATAAAGCAATTATTGAACCACTGCCTGTCAAATAAAAATGTTCCTAATCATTTTCTATAACCATATGTGTAAACATAATTTACCCTAATGGCCACATGAAAACCACCACAACTGCCGGTTAACCGTTGCGATGTAATTCAGTAAAGTTATTCACATCCTACACATACGCGTGTGCGCACACACACACACACACACGCACACTCACACATGCACGCAGACACACGTGCACACACACACATACACATTCCCAGTGACCCTCTGGCCTCTGCTTTCTTCAAGCTTTTGTGCCTGTGCATGAGGCGAGCGGCCTTGGGGTTAGACCTCTGATCAAATCCTGCCTCTCGCAGGCTAACGGGGTGGTCTGGGCAGGTGTCTCTGGCCCTGAGATCTTCATTTTAATAACTCAGGGCAGCACCTCTCGTAGGGGAAGGGGCGGCTGCCACACCATGATGTAGGTTAGCTAATGGCTGGCAGCGAGCAGATGCTTCTTGAGTTCAGAGTCTCTAGGATGTGGCAGGGCCTTTGGCCTCGCATCCAGTGCAGAACGTCTCCCCCAGCGCCCTGTCCCAGTCCACGCCATTCCGCCTCGCTCCACTTCAGGACGGGAGCCTGGCACCCACAGGGCATCCATTCATTTCTTGCTAATTCTGTCAGGAAGTTATTTGGAACAGAATCCTCTCCCTTAACTTATCTCTGGTGCCGCCAGTGCTCCCAGCATCACCCCCACTCCCATACCTCTGCCCCACGCCCCCACCCACACCTGTACCCCCACTCCCCCAACCCACACCTCACTCCGCTCCCCTCGCCCAAGAGAAGAGGCCGTGGCTTACCCCAAAGGGGTCCCCCCACCCCCCTGGGAGCTGGCTCCAGCCTGCCCCGTCCCGCCGGTGGTGTCCTCGCCGGCCCGTCCCCCTCCGTCTGTCTAATGAGGATGGAACTCCTGCAGCCCCTCTCCCAGGCTGTCAGGCGACAAACGAGACCACCGGAGGGAAAAGCACTTGGGTGACTGCGAACCCGCAGAGCCACACGGAGGGAGCCCGGCTTCCCCCTCGTCCTCCCCCTGCTCTCAGGGTCACCCCTCCCGAGGCGCCC